CAATTCTTCAAAATTTCGAGGCTTAATCCCTTGTAAGATGTAGAGAAGCCTCCAATGCATCCCTTGGATACACATCTCAATTGCCGACACTTCCGATAGTTTATCCTTGCAATTTAGACTTAGTGCACGCCAACGGTTGATGTAATCCACAACCAGTTCATCTTTCCACTGCTTCGCATTGGTAAGCTCGATCATACTCACAGTACGACTCGTGCTGTAGAAGCGATTCAAGAATTCATGTTCCATCTCTTCCCAACTGTTGATGGACTCGGGTTCCAAATCGACATACCAATCGAAAGCATTTCCCTTGAGTGATCTTACGAATTGTTTCACCAATAAATCGTCGTTGGTCCCCGCATTGTTGCAAATTTGGATGAAATGAGCAATATGTTGCTTGGGGTTCCCCTTTCCAAAGAATTGTTGAAGTTTTGGGGGGTGGTATCCCGCTGGCATCCTCAATGCATCGATCCGCTTAGTGTACGCCTTTTAGTACATGGGTGAGACTTGAGATGGCCCGCCATATTGCGCTTTGATGGTATTGGCAATCATCTCTTGCAATTGTTGAACAGATAGTGTGGCAACAGACATCGAAGAATGAGCGGCGCCTTGCACAAAGTCCGGCTTGGGCTGTGCTTCTTCCACTTGCTTTGCTTTCTCATCACGAAGCGGGTAAGATTCGTGCTTCGGGCTAAATTCCCCAACCTCTGACTGTTCCAACTTATCCATTAATTGAGCGATTTTCATGTCTTTGTCTTCGACTATTTTTTGAAGATTAGCCACCGTTTGGGTCAAGTGCGCCAATTGCTCATCCACGGAAGTCGCATCAACCACTATAACCGGCAATGTGGTGAAGGCTTGAGATTTGGAGTCGATTTGTTCCGAGCCTGAGGAGCTTGAGCCATTTGTCGTAGCGGTATTATCGATCTTGCCCCCGGTGGATGATAAACCAACAACGGTGGCAATCTCGGCAGCCTTTTGGATCAAAGAGTTTTGGTTCTTCTTTGGAGCCATTGGATCGTTGAACACAAGGATATGCGCTTCAATGTAGGAGAGGAGATGAAAGGCAAAGTGGTCCCACCGGGTGTGCCAATTTGTTAACCTTAAATTTAAATGTCTGCAAAATAAATTACAAGACAAGAAAATATAGGAACAAATAAATATATTTAATCAAAACGAAAATGGGTTACAATCTTTGTTGATTCCTCTGATTCTTCTCCTAGATTTAATCCAAGGGCCGAAGCTTGTTCTTGAATTGAGAGTTTGATTCCACCGTTGATTTGTGGAAGTAGATATGAATATCTAGAAATCGATTTGGGGATTTCTAGGTCTTGTGGAAATGGTGCCTTGATGAAGATGTAGAACCTCCGCGGTTGTTGTTCTTCGTCGTGGAAAGCTCGAGACTTGAGAGCTTTTGAGTGCTTGATGTACGCCTTGCTTGATGCTTGTGTCCTCGTCTCCTCGTATATGTCTTTGTGTGTGTTTGATACCTCCTTTTATAGGCTCGATTTAGGGTTTCTTGACTTGAGACTTGGGCCGGTGGACATGGATGCTTGCAAATTCATGTGGGCTAGCTTTTATAAGCCCGAATGACTAACTCGAATAAATAATAATTTATTGCTTATTTTGGGTTAACTCACATAACACATTTGTGAAGCCCAAATATAGTGTGGACTTCAACATAAAACCCAAATTTATCACGGGCTTTGATTTGAGATCCAAATTAATAACCGATTTATTTGGATTATTAATTTGTAATTTAATCTAAAAAAATTTATATAAGCCCAATTTTTTTATGGACTTTTAACCGAGATCCGAATTAATAACCAATTTATTTAGGCCATTAATTCGTAATTTAATCTCAATTTTGATGTCAACATAATATATGAGTATCATGTATGAAATTCAACATATTTATGGGATCTTGTATTCCAAACGCAACAATAATGCTCACCTACCTTAGAATAATCATCTAAAACATAATCTATGCATCTCCCATACTTATCGATCATTAAAATGTCAATGAAATTGGTACAATTCAATTCATCACAAAATATGGTACGTTTTGTTCATCAAGTAAGTACAGTGAATACACATGTGAAGTACAAGTTATTCGTGAATATAGTACGTTTTGTTCATTGATAAAGTATGTAGTATTTTACACTCTATATTCGTGAATATAGTACGCTTTGACGTTCATATAGTATTGTTACACTCTATATTATTGTGGGGCCAATGCATCCATATAATCGCATTTTAAGACACAATTCTTCATTTTAAGACTACTAAAAATGAATAGAGTCAATGTGGGAGTCGATCAACATCGATTATGGTAACATTTAAGGAAAATATAAGTTTTTCGTGAATACACATGTGAAGTACATGTTATTCGTGAATATATTACGCTTTGTTTATCAAGTAAGTACAAGTCTAGTTTTGACAAGGTATCTTCGAATAGACTATGAAGTATTTGTTGCTCATTTTTATAGTACTCTTTATACAAACTCAATTCATAGCAAAATAAATTACCATGTGTTCAAAAGGTAAGTACAATTTATCGAAACATATAGTACGATATATACAATGGAAAAGTACGAGTAGAGCTAACCAATAATATTATTAGCTCTACAACAAAAGGACAGATTGTTTATGGCACAAAAACACATTCATCTGTTCATGAAAAAGAAAAAAACACAAAAACCCCAAAACACTTCCACTCCCAGATTTTTCACAATAACACTATATCTCTTTCATCTCTAGCTTCCACTTCTACTCTCCGATGCCTCAGAAAGATAATTGCTAGTTTAGGGTGAAGTGTTTTGATATCGCAAGTTTTTGCCTTAAACCAAATATATGTACTGTCTACAGCATGACAATATGCCCATAATTGCTTGAAAAGCGACCAGTGAGCACCTGCAGCCTATTGCTAGATTGCTGCTATCTTCTTTTACATCAATTCCTGCAATTACATACACATAAAAGTACAATTATAACAAATACAACGTACTATAAAGTTCCACTACTAGTACTTCCAATAATTTCGTCCAATACAATCCAAATGCACTAGCAATACCATTGTTGCATACGACACATACTACATTACAATCAAACATTATACTTCCAGTACCCTTTGTCAATACCGTTCGAATGCACTAGCAATACCATTCAAAGGCACTAGCAATACTATTGTGGCATATGACACATACTGCATAACCATCAAACATTATACTTCCAGTACCCTGTGTCTATACCATCCAAAGTCACTAGCAATACCATTCAAAGGCACTAGCAATACTATTGTGGCATATGACACATACTACAGAACCACCAAACATTATACTTCCAGTACCATGTGTTAATATCGTCCGAAGTCAAGAGCAATACCATTATTGCATATGACATATACTACAGAACCATCAAACATCATACATCAAACCATTGTTAGGACTAAATGCTTTCGGGACAGTACTTCGAGTACCCTGTGTCAATACCATCTAAATGCACTATTAATACCATTACTGCGCATGAAACATACTATAGAACCAGTACGGAAAATACAATAAGCTTCTTTCCCATATCCTATATGAAACCCTTGTTAGGAGTCAAAATGCTTTGGGGACATGCTAATGTCACCGAAGAATAATACCCAGGAGGAAAGTGTTACAAAATTATGAAATTCGACAACAAATAAATGATCTTTGCAAACCCAAACAACAAAACAACAGATATTGGAACCGGTTTAATGATTGGGGAAACACCGAATAAAGTCGAGGCATAATACCCACGAGTGGATATGTTCAAAATCATGCAATTCTACAACAAATAAACCTTTTTGCAAACTTAAGCAACACCCAAATGGGTCTGTTTCCAAAAAAATGAAAAAAAAAAAAATCAAACCTTGTTGTTTACTCTGCTTCACCATTGTCTAGAAATGGGTTTGTTTATTTTTATTTTTCCTTTCGCTTTATTATTTTTCTCCGTCTTTGTTGATTCTTCGTTATTTGTTGTTTCTTTGTTCTTTGTTTCTTCTCTGTTGCTTCTTTGTCTGGAAATGGGTATAAACTGATAACATCGATTTTTTTCTGCGCCTTTTTAGCTTCCTTCTTGTTGTTTGATTTTTGAAATGCAACGGGCAAAGAGCGTGTAACACAAACGGCGCGTTGGAGGTTGAAAATAAATTATGTAAAATTAGTATAAAGTAAAGGGTATTTTAGTATTTGCACATTTTATTAGGGACTGATCTGCATATTAGGCGCGTGAGCAGGGACTGATTTGCTTGAGAAAACTACATAGGGACTGATCTGTGTTTTGTGTTTTGGATTAGGGATTTATCTGTAATTTCCCCTTCTTTTATCTCTTTTAAATTACATTATTTTTAATATTATCCAAAGCAAAATTTTAATACGGCTGCATGAATCATGACGCATATTACATTATTTTTTTTTTATTCATCTTATTATATCATTTAATCCATCAATTATATAAACGGTAGAGTGCGACTTACCGATTGTACCGTATAAAATATTACAATATATCAAATAATGGTATACCGCGATCATTGGTACAGCCATACATCAACGGTATAAAAATTTTAAATACCGAAACATACAGTACGATACTAAACTAAATACCCGGTAAGTAACCGTACCAAAATCACCCCTACTTACATATGATGTAACTCATTTCTCTACTCATTGGTTTACATATTTGCACTTTTGACATTCAATTTCTTTTGCTTGCAAAAAGTTGGTCATGATTTAACACATAATAGACGACAGATTGCAATATCACCACGTCATTATTATATACTCATAAAAACTAAAAGTAGGTCAAAAAAAAATTAATTAAAAAATAAAAAAATAAATAGAAAAAGATATTGTAAAACTCAAAGATGCAGATATAACAGTATTAATAATAATCTCAAGTATTAATTCTCAAATAGAGATTTAATTATCCTACAGATTATAATTAATAATTAATAATTAATTAATTATCTACATATATATAAACTCATTTTGCTCTCAATATATAGTACTCAAATGCTAAAGAAACCAAGAAAATTCAACAAATGCAAACCCTTAATTGGCATTATAAACACTAATTAATTAGCTACAAGAAATATAATAATAATAATGAAGCAAAAATTAAATCACAAATCACAACCGATTGAGCCGTCCAGCCAATACCACCGCCACCAGCGCCGCCACCAACCACCATCAGAAGAGGGACAACCAATGAAAAGACAAGATCTTGGAACCAGCCCAGCTCAGAAAAGAGCCAGCTGAAGCAGAAAGAACAACCGCCATTTGCTCCACCACCTCCGGCCTCTTCCGCCGCCTCCGGCCGCCGCAGCTAAACCCTAACATGAAACAAAAAATTGGTGCATATTAATTAATTACCTCCCATCTTCAGAAAAGCTTTTTAAGGCTGTGTTTGATGAGTAATTTTGTCTTGTTGCTGAGAGTTAATTAACAAAAGGGAAGATACATACACACATATATATATATATACACACACAAAAACACACACACAGAGATAGATAGATACATACAGTGGTGGTGGGTGAGTGTGTGTGTAAACATAATGAGGACAAGTAAATAAGCATGAAAACAAGGGGGTTTTTTGTCTCATATGTTTCCATTGTGGGGTTTGAAATTAATTATAAACTGTTTTCTTTACTCTGTACTGTATAGTATATATGTATGTATTATACAGTGATACATACATAAATACATACATACATGTTCCGGAAATTATCCTTGAGAAATGCAAAAATCCCCTATGTATCCCTCCCTCCCTCTCACCACATGTTCACCAGTTCAGACAATTAATCTGAGTTTTCTGCTTGACCAGACATGCACCAATTCCTAGGTTTTTGCTTTTTCTCTTGTTTTTTTTTTTTTTTTTTTTCTTTTTTTAATTAAATAATTATAAAACCCAATCCCCAATAACAGTGTTTTTTGTTGAAGTTATTAATTGTGCTGCTAATTAGAATTAAAGTAACCAACTAATGAGCTTCTATGTGTGTCTATGTGTGTGTGTGTGAGAGAGAGAGAGAGAGAGAGAGATGTAGAGAGAGAGAGAGTAAACCTGTAGCACAAAAATGGCAAAACACAAAGTCCAAGACAAGCAATGGATCGAGAAAACCTATGATGTAATTATTATATCTCATGGAAACCCATACCTGAAATTTATTCAAACCAAAACTATAATAAATATATATCATATTAATTTTTAACTAATATATATTTTTATTTATATATCAAAATATACATATTTATAGTTGTACTTTTTTCATCTTTGAAATTTGAATGAAACCAATTCTTTAATTATATATATAAAAATAAAAAAATAAAAATGATGGATCAAGATATATATATGTGTGTGTGTCAGTGTGTGTATATGTATTATTATATATATATATATGATCAAGAAAATATATATTGTCAGGGTTTTTGCAGTGATGATATTGATTTTACAATTCTGAGAAAGCAATGTTTCATCTTTGAATATCTGTAATGAAAAATTAGTTTATATATATATATATATAAAACATGATTGCGTACAATAAACCAGTAAAAGCAATTGGCACTTTCCTTCTTCTACACTACAAACCATTAAACCCTTACAACAAACCAAAAAATGTGTGTGTATTGCGTGTAAAGACTAATTCAGACTAAAATGGAAGAAACACACACAGTCAGAGCCGCACACTGTGTGTAATTATGTGTAATTATATATATATGCATATATGATATATGTAATATGCAGTACCTTCATTACCGTTGAACAGCAAGAAATTTCTGAATGAACCCATAATAAGTTATTTATTAGTACTTCAGAAAAATATGTTCATTCATCATGTAACAAACTTTGTACACTATTTATCAACAATATATGCACTGTGTGTGTTTTTGTGGCGTGTGTTAGTGTGTGTTTGGGGTGTTGAACTATATATATATATATATATATATATATATATATATATATATATATATATATATATATATACATAAATACGGTTGTTATGTGAGTGGGCAGCTTATGTGATAGTATAACTTTTGAAAAAGCTAAAGTACTGCTAATATCTTTACACTTTTATGGTAGCAGTCAGATTTCCTTTTATTTATTTTATTTTTTATTTTTTATTTTTCTTACAATTCTTTTTCTGAAGAGTGAAGATTTCGTGGAAGCTTTTTCAGGGCTTTTTTGGTAAAAGTTGCCAGGGATTTTGAGGGCTTTTTGGTAAATTTAAACCCTGTAAATTTCTTTAATAGTCTTCAAATTTATTTATTCACACTTTAATCCCTCATCTTTATTTATCAATTTCAACTACCATCCTCCAAAATATTTTTCAAGTGGTCATTCTCTTAACACCCCAAAGCAAACACTGAAATCAAATGAAATTAAGGGTATTTTGGTAAAATAAAGAGAGAAATTTAATGAAGAACATAGAGAAAATATTGGGATTTTTTTTTTTTTTTAATCATCTCTTAAGTTTAGTTCACCAAAAAATAGATTTAATCCCTCATGTTAATTTGTTTTAACACTATTCATCATTTCCTGCAATTTCTCGTTAGTATTACCAAAATCAAGCATGTGTCCATCATTGTCTTAACTGACGTACTAATAGTTATTGACGAAAAGAACCAAAAGTGTTCAATTATTGAAACATGAGGGACTAAACTATTTTTTTGTGAACAAAGACGACCAAATGCGAAATCGGGATAAACTTGCGGAACGAAAAGTGTATTTTTTCCTTTATATTATCTATTATAAGTTTGCCTCTATAACCAATGGGAAAAATATTTTTTTAGTCCCTCGTGTTTACCGCTAAAATATTTTTCCTCATTTTCTGAAATATAATTTTGGTCCCTCAGAATTCCCACATTATGACACATTTAATTTGGTCCCCCTTTAATGTGTTATTACTTATTAGTAGTAGTTAACAAAATCTTGCTAGGAAAGAAGGAAAAAATAAAAAATGCACTATTACTCCCACATATTAACGACTAAAATAGATTTAGTCCCTCTTGTTCTAAAGAAGAAAACACACTTCTAGATCCAGGGTTCTTTTGCCTTAATTGAATGAAATGGGGAGCACGTGCGCGATTTCGTTAGTCACTAACATTTAATTGACGGAGTGGACTAACAGCGTAATAATGTGGACTAACAGCACGTGCGCGATTTCGTTAGTCACTAACATTTAATTGACGGAGTGGACTAACAGCGTAATAATGTGGTAACTTACGGGACCAAATATGTTTTTTTTTAACGGTGGAGAATCAAATGTGAATTAATGGCAAACATAAGGGAAAGAAAACAATATTTTTTTTCAATAACTAATGCAAAATATAATATGGCAAGAACCCTAGTAGACAACTCAACTGATGGAAAATCATACTAAATTTACTTGCAGCGGCATGGTGAATCCTGCAATCAAATTATTTGGTACGAATCAATCACTTTGAGAAGGACACTACAATTGAATTTAATTGTTTGATAATTTAATATTTCGGTAAATTAATAAAATTTTGGTATCGTCATTTGCATTAATTTATATGGATTTAACTTGTAGTTGGGATAAAAAGATAGAGCCATATCTTTCATATTTGCTTTCTTTTACTACTAAGGAATTAAGTGTGTATTTATTGGACCACCAACCAATTCACATTAGTCAACATTTTGTGAAAGCAGCCGTATTTTTGTCTCTATTTTATTTGACTAAACAAACATATTTAGGGGAAAAAAAGTACAAAAGTGATTAGTGATAAAAATGGTGTAATTTCGCTATGATGAGACCATGTTGTGTAATAGCTACGTGAGCACCACTTTTTTGACCATGTGATCCACAAGTTTTAAAAAGCTATTTACCTCCATTTTGAATTTTAATCTTCGATAAATTACAACCACCCCTGAGGTAAAGTCTAACTACGAAAACCTCCCTCACTTTTCCACAATTACATACACCCTCTTGAAATTTGTAAATTTATTACTGTTAACACCCTTTTTTATGGGGGTGGAAGTAAGAAATTTACAAAATACAGGGGTCGGATGAAATTTCTAAAAAATGAGAGGTATTTTTGCAAATTGGCTTTACCTCTAGGTGCTGGTTGTAATTTACCATTTAACCTTATATATAAAAACAAGGCCCAAAACAATTTAAAATTTAAATTTTGACCCCCCAAATAGTGTTTTCCGTTAGAGGTGAACCGACAGGTGACGGAGGGGATCAAATCTTGTTTAAAATTGACCTTTCAATGCGAGTCGTATCAACTCTGCAACAAAGAGGACCGAAAATCGGCTCGTATCAACTCTGCAACAAAGAGGACCGAAAATCGGATGAAACATGAGGGACAAAAAGCGCAATTCTCCCCTTTTTTTGTCTTATAAACCTTGATGTAGCCCCTATGGGCAATACTGTTAATTCCTATTTACGCATTTTTTTCGACCTTTTTTTTCTTTTGCCATACCTACATCGCACATAAGTTCATACGCGCTTCGTTTCTCCTATAAATATTTGCGCAACACAACCGCTCCCTTTTGAAACCAAATTCATTTGAAAGTTTCGAGAACAAATATTATCAAAAATTCAAATACAAATGTGTATGTTAAAGAATCGTTCAAAAACAATAGACCTAGTACTACAAAAATTATTACAGACCATAATAACAAATATTCAGCTCATATTGTACTCTCCTCAATAAAATAACACACATTTTCAACTTTCTTTTACTAAAACTCTATACCTATCGCTCTTATTAACTCTTTCATGTTCCCGTGAAAACCAAGAAAGAAGCATATTACGATTATCTTCCTCAGCAAATATATTAATTGAAAAAATTGTTTTCATCAACTTCTTTTCGAGTGCAAGACTTTCTTCCCCTTGACCGAAAACCTGTCACTGCTCTCAAGCTTGCAGCAAAAAAAAAAACAGAGGTCTAGATTACTTGAAAAGCTCGAAAAACGTTAAACCAATGTGTATAAAGATTTGCTCGAAAATCCACAATTACGGAAACATGATGTACTAACCTTTTCCTTTAAACAAGTAATTGCCTCTTCGGAAGAGAAGCTGGAAAAAATCGAAGGGGAGTGTTTATCGACGAGTTCTTTGAGATGCTTCAGCTTTAATGACTCACCAGGCACCTGTAATAAAAGAAACTCGGATAAAAAAAAATGGTAATAGACTGTAAAGCAAAATTTAGTTACGTAAATCTCGAGACAAAGTTACCTGCCGAAGAAGCTGCCGACACAACTTCTTAAGTTTTGGCTTCTGTTCAGCACCGTTATTATCCATGTCCATATTTTCTTCGTGTTTCCTTTTCATTGACGAAGGTGAGTTGGAGGAATCCTCGTCATCACTATCACCGAAAGTTGTCTTTTTTCCTTCGAAAAAGCAGCCTGCAACTTTTTTCGGAAGGTCCTTTATTCCAAGCCCTTGTTTTCCAGATGTCGCCTTGTCCTGAAAATAGAGATCAGAAAAATTGACGAGAGAATATATTAAATAAAAGATTCCATTTAAGAATTCGATTATTTACACCATTCCCACGGACTTAATAGTCTGAACTCATAGAATACTTAATGGCTAAGAGAACATTGCCAGTTATTTTGATCTCATATTCACACTAAAATCGAGATACGACTGTTAGTGGTCTTGAATCCCTATACACAAATCCAATAATGCACGACAAATTATGTAATTGGTTCTGTTAGGTTGCCAAAAGAGTGCTCCAAGTCTCCAACGAGTTGACTCCATATTGGAATGTGTATATGCTAGAGTTACGGTAATAATACAAAAGTATTCAATTCAAAAACAAAATAAAAAAAAGTGAACAAATACCTGAACAAGTTTGTAGAGATTTTCTTGATCGTCCTCATTGAACATAGTTCTGCCGTTTGAATTTTTTTGATCATTCCCAGACAAGAGCAACTTCTTTCTCTGAGACTCGGCACCAAGCAAACCTCCGGAAATAAACCCTAATTTGTGTCCCCACCACCCTGGTGGAAGATCTTGAACTTCTCCTATCACATGATCTATTACATAATAAATTATATATCAAATCCAACTCCACAGGTAATCGATTTTAAAACTTTCATTTTAACCATATGGATCAAAAGTTACCTTCTTCGATATCAGCAAGATTAATATCCATTGACTTTTTGTCCTCTCCATAATTAGCCTCGGGAGATTTCGCCTTGTTTACCTGGAGAAAAATCATCCCATTAAGTGTTTAAAGATAACTAGAAGAGCAACGACCGAAGCTAATCAAAATTAACCAACGCAGATGTCCCGTTCACTAAAGATATATGCAATCCATTAAATATATTACACAAAAATTGATGCAGCATTAAGTTTCTTTCAACATAAATACAAGCTGTGCTTACAAGGATTCCTTCAAGATCCTTTGCAGAATAAGAATGAACCCGCTTCCCCTTCTCTCTTTTTTGATACCTTCACAAATAATATTGCAATTCATACACTGTTAAATAAAATCGTTGTGTATACGGTAGGTGAAAGGAGAGCTTTTGACGCTAAAAGTATATACCAACCTCCCTTGTGGTCGAGTAACCTTGACAGCTGCTTCTTCTTTGTCCTTCAAAGGGCTGCTTTTCTCGGCTACTTTTTCTTCATCTTTTTCATCAACTGTTACGTGCAGTAAAACCAATCGTTAATAAGTCAATTTGATAGACCTAAAACCAAGTCAAATTCCCTTTTTTGCGTGAGCATACCTTCATCATTGTTGATTGTAACCGCTTGCTGCCAAATTAAACAACGAAGCAAATGCAATTAAAAAAATTAGAAATTGAAAAATAAGTGCACATAATATATTACTCGAAACAGGAAAATTGATGGAATTTACCACTTTCAATTTCTTGAGTATACTATCGAACTGAGTGGTATCAAAAGCCCACGCATTTGGTTTCTCTGTGCCTATACCTTTATGTGCACCAAACAAAGACGAATATCACTTCAATCAAAATCACCCTTCCATTATTAAATCAAAATTTATAAAAAACTCCAAGATGTTAATAAAACAAATAAAATAAATGAAATGTGAAAATAAGAAGGCAAACCTAAAGTATCCTGTTTGTTCTTCACCCGAACATATCCTTTGATTCCTTGCTTTTCTTTACCAAGCCCTTCTCCTTCTTCCCATCCCTGAACAAACAGTCAATTAATCCTAAAAACCAAATAAATCGATAATTCAATTTTCACATAAAGATGAGTTCTTTCACATCCACGTAATTTTTTTTCTTCATAATATTCGAAAATGAACCCTAATTTGCTATTCCCAGTCTAGCAAGGCAGAGCTTGAGCACAAATTAATCTAAAAATATTGCAAATTAACTTGAAATGCGTAATTGCGCACATTGGAGCATAGCGAAGAATGATCGGCGAGCAGAAAAAAGTATTACCATTTGTTTCATGAGGCGGAAGGCGGCGGAGCTTCGGTCAACTCCGACATAACGTAGAGGGGCTTCGGGTTCTGCCATAACTAATCAATTCAACCTTCTCTCTCTCTCTCTCTCTAGAACCCTTGATTTGCCGCCGAAAGAACAAATTGAGAGAGAGAGTGTGGGGCGGTCTGGAGCAGCACAGAGCAGCTTCAAAACCTAAATTCTGAACAATTTTATTTGATTTTACTTTTTTATTTTTTATTTATTTTCGATAAATAAATTGTTTTTCAGTTAAGGCCTTTAGTTTACTTTAAATACTATTTTAGTACCAAATACTTTTGATTTCTGTAATATTCATTTTAGTTATTTTTGGAATATTTGTAAAATTAAGGGTTAAGTACATTTTGCACCCTTAAAGTATAGAAGTTGTAACACTTACCCCTTAAAATACCAAATGTAACACTTGCCCCTCCAATAATAAAACTTTGACTCTAATGACATGGCATTTTATATTTTCATAATTGACTTGAAACACTTATATATATAAAGATGAATATGTAATAATATTTTTTTCAAAAATCTTCAAAATCTCAATTTAATCATAAAATAAAATAAAAATTAATTTCACTGAAATGTTTCTGAATTTTTCTTTCAATAACTTTTAGTATGTCTTCATTAATAATTAATAAAAATAAAATTTAGAATCATGCATGCAACAAATTATAATTTTTTTCCAAGTGAGATGTATTGATCATAACTTTTTTGGAGAATATATATCAAGACTCAAATTGGGAGGCCCATTAAGAGGGGCTTGAGCATGACCTAGGTGGCCCAATCAAGGAAAAGGGCCCACGAGAGAGAAGCCCAACTACCCCCTACGCCCGCTTTGAACAAACGACACAGGTAGAAAGAACAGCCCGAGCACATTAACAACCCTTGGGAACCCCGAAGCGAGCTCAGAAGGTCGAGGCAAGTACGAAAAGGAGGTCATAAATGCACTGACGGCGTCCCTAGCGGCGCATTAAATACCCTGACAATGGCATTTAATGCACGAATGATCAGGTGCGGCCCAAAGACTGGGAAAATGTGGATAGAATTCACAGTAATGTCCAGACGGATAGCTGCGAGGGAGATCATCATGATCCAGGTCGTTCGGGTAAAAGTGGATAAAGAACGCCGCAGACCTCTCCGGCCGGAATTCGCGGGCGCTGAGGAAGCCAGCCAGAAGAACACTATAAGAGGAGGTGTACGCCCACCCAAAGGGCCAGGTTCATTTTGACAACATTCATAAAATACAAAACACATATAATCCTTCAGAAAGTCATACGTGATCCATTACTAACGTGACCGTCGCAGGGCTAACTCTGTGACCCTGGGGAAGCGAGCCAGAAGAACACTATAAGAGGAGGTGTACGCCACCCAAAGGGCCAGGTTCTTTCTTACCGCATTCATAAAATACATAATACATATAATCCTTCGAAAAATCATACGTGATCACTTACTGACTTGACGCGTCAGAGAACTAACTCCGGTGTCAGTCCGGCTCCCTCTTTGCAGGTA